CACAGAGTACCAGCTAATGTCACCTCTGACAGAGGTCCTGAGTTTGTCTCACAACTCTTCTGCTCTCTAGGAAAGGCCCTGGATATGCATCTTCACTTCACTCAGGTTACCACCCAGAAGGTGATGGCTAGACTGAGCAAACAAACCAGACCCTCGAGCAGTACCTTTGTGTCTACTGTAACTACCAACAAGACAATTGGGCTGAGCTGTTACCTCTAGCAGAGTTCACTTTCAACAATGCACCAAGTGCAACAACTGGAGTTTCTCCCTTCTTCACTAACAAGGGATATCATCCAAACCTGTCTGTGGTCCCTGACCAGAACTTCACCTCTCCAAGGGCTCATGACTATGTTGTTGAGCTCTCCACCCTTCATGACTTCCTCCACTCTGAAATGTCCACCACTCAGCAGCACTACCAGGGTCCAGCAGATACCAAATGCATACCTCCACCTGAGTTCAAGGTTGGAGAACAGGCCTATGTCAAAGCCAAGTACTTCCACTCCACTTGTCCTTTGGAAAAACTCTCCAAAAAGTACTTAGGTCCATTCACCATCTTGGCCAGGCCAGGTATGCACTCCATCACCCTTAAGCTCCCTGACTCTATGTGCTCAGTACATCTGGTCTTCCATGTCTCACAACTGGAAGCCACAGTGGCTAACCCTATCCCAAGTCAACAACAACCTCTGCCTCTGCCAGTAGATGTTAATGGCAACCTTGAGTATGAAGTGTTGGAGATACTTGACTCTAAGGTGGACCACCATTGCTGCCACTGTCAACTCTTGTATCTAGTCCACTGGGCTGGTTACAGGAGCACCAATGAAGAAACCTCTTGGTTGCTTGCAACTGAGCTAGATCACACTTCCAACATAGTCTCTGCTTTCCATGAATGCTATCCACACAAACCTGGCCCATATCAACCTCTGCCATAGTACTCTGCCCACATAACCTTCCTCTGTGGGCCAACTCTGCCCCTTATTGAACTACCTTAAGTACTTTAGAATTTTCTCCACTTATCCATTTCACTTCTCAGAATCACAAGTCTATTTCAGTAGTAGTACAAAATATGCAAACTAAAAACAGAGGACAAAAAAAAAAAAAAGAAATCTACACTACTCTTCCATTGCTTGCTCTCTGCCACCCTCCTGTCCTTCTCCACCTTCCGGCTCTCCCCCAACTTCTTCCTCTTCCTTGTTATCCCCCTCTGCCCCTCTGCACCTTTGTCTGCTTCTTTGCACTGCTCCTCTGCCACCTCTGACAGAGGCCTCTTCCTTTTGAGAAGGGACTGAGGTTGCAGGGCAAACTAGAGTGTGAAAACTACTCAAGCTGGTAAGTAAAAGTGGTGTGCAATACCAGTAAGAAACATTACCTCAGTCTTCAAAGTAGGATGAAGTCTGAGGTACAAGGAAAAATGAAGTGCCTAAATGTATGGAAATATTATGTAAGCAGTGCTTGCTGTACAGAACAGCAGTATGTTCCAACACTTCCAACCACTGCCTGTGCACTCAAGCTCAGCCATCCTGGCCTCTTGTGCATCCTCCCTCCTCCTCATCTTCACCCACTCTGCCCAGGCATGGTACAGCACCCACTTGTTGGCCATCTGCTCTGCAGCCACTGCCATCTGCTCTGCTGCATCTGCCATCCTCTCAAAGGCCAGCACAGCAGCCTCATGTGCTTCAGCCTGCTTCTCCATGGCCTGCAGTTGCTGCTCCTGCTCCCACTCCACCCACCATGTATGGACTCCTGCACCTGAGGGACCCTTGAGTGGGGTTGCTGGTTTGTCTTTCTCTCCACCTGCCTCCCACTCATTGTCTGCCTCTTCTGTCTCCATTGCTCTCTCCTTCCCCTTCCCCCATGCTCTCTTCTTCTTCTCCCCTTGGGAACTCCCTGTCCCTGCTCTCTTCTGTGATGGTCCTGCCACCATGTCCTCCCTCATCCAGCTGCACACCTTTTTTTTTCTTGTGGCAGGGCATGCAGGCCCTGGTCTTGCCTTGTCCTGGCTTGCACTGCCCCACTGTCAGGCTTGCTACACAGTGAGTGCAGGGGGGTGCCTGGTTGTGGTGACCACCACAGAGGTCCCAGGGACCCTCTGGGGGGTGTTGATGTTGTACACTGCACCACATAGTCTAAGAAAATAAGACTGCAAGTCAGCTCCACCTGACTCACAGTACTCCACCACTCACCTTTGTGCAGCCTTGTCCTGCCTGGCCTGGGCCCTCTCCTCAGAGGCCCTCTGCCTCTGCCTCTGCCTTTCTGCCTCCTCCTCTGCCACTTTTTTCCTTTGGGCCTCCTCTTCCTCCTCCACTCTCTTCCTCCACTCTTCCTCCAACCTCTCCTCCTCTGCCTTCTGCCTTTTGGCCTCCTTGCACTTGGCCTTGTGCTCTGCCTTGTGCTCTCTCTCTCCACTTGGTCTCCTCTCATTGGCATGCCTTCTCTGTGGACTTCTCCCACTTGGTGTCAGTGGAGTCATCAGTGAGGATGACCAGTTCTTCATCTGCAACTTGGGAATAGTTGTGGACATGGCCAGGAGTTGGCTGGGGGGTTGTGCTCTGGTGCTGGGAGGACATGATGATGGGGGAAGGGATAAGGGTTCAGAACCCTAGCACTGTGTTTTTAAGTGGTTCTTCAGACTCCAACAGAGCTCTGCTGTGGCTAGAGCCATTACCCTTGAGGCATTAAAATAATTTCAAATGATCAACTCATGTTGATCTCATCTTATACATGCAGCCTTCAGGGGTTCAGGCCCTAAGGGGGGGGGGGGGGGGGGCACTGTCATGACCATGCATTTGTCCTAGGTCCTCACTCACTCTGCACCCCTTTTCTGCCAGTCATTCACTCACTCTGCACCAACTCCACCTGTCCCCTGATGTTTACAAGTCATCTCTGCTCTGACTGCTGTTGGACTTGTACTGCTCTCCTACTGGACTGCACAGGTTGTTCTCTGAGTAGTCATGTGACTACCCTTTGGACTTCTCCCTGACAGCATGTGATCAGGTACTCTGCAGTGCATGCACCACATTTTCTGGTGCCTGGACTGTTTCCTCTTTGGGATGTTCTGTGTTACCCATTCCTGTGTCCTCTGTCTACCCTTCATTTGTCATCTAGGAAGTTTTACTTGAAATTTTATGAGTCTCTGTATGTCAGTTCCGATTCTGATTACTATACCTCCATAGTAGTGTAAAAGCATGTATCATACTCCACTGTTCTTCAGTATGAATATCAACTTAGTTCCTACTCCCTCTGTCTCTGTCTTCTGCCTGTCAGAGTTACCTCTGATTGTCTGTCTGTACTCTCCCTCTGAAATACGAGGGCTGAGATCATGCAAGGGGGTAGCACACAAGCTAAACATGATGCCCTCACCTCGCTCTGCCTTTATCCTGGCAGACTTTGTTCCTGCCAACACTCCACCAGTCAGAGTTCAGTTCTTTCTGTCAGACTTTCTTCTGAACCTCTCCCCAGACCTTGTCTAGCATTGGAATTAGTTGGAGTAGGCCTGGACTTGACAGTGCAGGCCATTCTGGCACCATTGTAATGTGTACTGGCACCAGTTCCATGTATTCTGGCATATCCCTAATGCCACAGGTCCATCATGCAGGCCATCCTGGCACCTTTGTAATGAGTGCTGGCACATCCCCAATGCCCTGAGGCCATCATGCAGGCCATTCTGGCACAACACCAATGCCATGGAAGCCATCCCGGCACCTATGCCATTGTAATGTGTTCTGGCACATCACCAATGCCATGGAAGCTGCCCTGGCACCAGTTCCATGTATTCTGGCATATCCCCAATGCCATGAGACCATCATGCAAGCCATCCTAGCACCATTGTAATGTGTTCCAGCACAACACCAATGCTGTGGAAGCTGTCCTAGCACATCCCCAATGCCATGAGGCCATTATGCAGGCTGTCACAGCACCATTGTAATGAGTTCCAGCACATCCCCAATGCCATGAGGCCATCAGTCAAGCTGTCCCAGCACCAATGCCATGAACACAATCCCAGTGCCAATGCCATGGAGGCCCACCCAGAAATTATACCATACCATGCCTGACCTGCCTGACCTCCCAGGAGCAGGTCCACAGTGTATGTATGTACTGGTACCAGTACCATGCTGGAGATGCATGTATTACCACAATGGTGGCTCTGGTAATGACCAGAAGACTAGCCAACTACCCAGTACGTTTAAACTGTGAATTCAATGCCTTACAGCCTCCAGCAAGCCAGAACAATACCATGAAAGTCACCATCATGCTATACAGCAAAAACAATTGAGTTATGCTGACCAGTCATCATTCAATCATCTAGGTGAACCATGACTCCATTGGCCCTTAGTGCTTGTAATACCATGGCCTTGGTACAGACATCACTGTACCAGATTGGTTTTCCAGTATCTGAATCATACAATAACAACTATCAGCAGGGGTAGCTACTTCTTCCTGGAGATCACATTTTGACAATATAGAATATATTGCTGCATCTAACAAAGTAGAAGTACAAAGACAAAAAAACATGAATGGATTGCAAAATGACATGCACAGTAATGTTAGTTGACCTCCATCCTACCTTCCTGTCCAGGCACTAATCTCACTGCTGGTGGTGGTGGAGTAATAGAGATTGCCAAACCTCCAGCAGGTCCATGCACAGGTTCAACATTCAAAGGAGGTACTTCCAAGCCAGCACCTCCCTTGAATGAAGCCAGGGGGGTTCAGTGGACTCCTGTCTTAAGCTGCTTCAGGATGATTGAACCTCTACAACACTGGTGGCAGTGCCAAGTTCCACCATGACTGGCATGTGAGGTACTGGTGTAGGGTTGGAAGTAGTGTGAAATGGGACCAGAGGATGGTTAAGCACCTCTGTGGCCAGGAATAGGTGATTACAGATAGCATCTACCACCTGATGGAGAGTGGGAAGCTCAGTATGGGTTACTTCTATCTCCCACCTCATGTCAGCATTCTCCCACTTGAGGACAGTAACCTCTTCCTGATGGTCAAGTCAGCATAACCAAGATATGCAGGATGCCTTGCAGCACTGGCCATTGGTTTTTACTAATGTCTCTGTAATTTCTAACCAGACCACACCCTTTCACTGGGACCCACACTCATGGTCTGATTGGTATGACATGCTGGTCATGGTTGGCAATTATGAAGATTGTGTATTGGGTATCCCCACACTTGGCCTTCAGTTCCTTTACAACCCCAGCACTGTAGTTGCATTTTCTGGCCAGCTTCTTTGAAATGGGGTTAGTTCTGTGGGTGGGAACTGATGTTGGTTTGCCTACTACATGAGGGACAACATACACAATTGGATAGGGATACCCTGTGGGGATTGATGAGAGTTCAGAATGTCCAGACTTGGTTGATGCCTGCAGGTCTGCTGGGACATTCCATATAACCTACACTTATCCAATAGGGGGTCCATGTAAAGGTAGTTCTATAGGTATTATATGCCATCCCAAGCCAAGTTATTTTCCATATACCTCTCCCAAATATTGACTATGGCTGGCCCATAATTGGCAGAACACTTCAACTTGAGCTGAATCCAGTCAGATGGCACACTGGGAAATTGCTTGCTTGTTGTGCATGAGACCATGGCATATGTGCCAGACCACATGGATTGGTGATCATAATACATGGGCTGACTGGACTTGGCCAGAACATGTACTGGCCCAATAGAATCCCACTGGAGTGCCTTCTGAACCACTGTAAATAGTCTGGAGGGTGTCATCCATCCTGGCCAACTGGAGTTGGTTCAGAATTGATGCCAAAAAACTGCCACCAGCCCTGGACCTGTGCTGGCCCACTATATTGTGGATGGTAGGTGTCCCAGGTCATCATCATCAACTGGGAATTTAACCCAGCTGACTGGATTTGGCCAGAACATGCACTGGCCCAATACTGTCCCATTGGAATGCCTTCTGAACAACTGTAAATAGCCTGGAGTTTGTGATCCATCCTGGCCAACTGGAGTTAGTTAGGAATTGATGCCAACCAACTGTCACTGGCCTTGGTCCCCTGCTGGTTCCCTAGATTCAGCCCAGTAGATATCCTGGCTCACTGGCAATAACATGGGATCTGACACAGCTAACTGGAAATGTCAGGAAGTCATACCAGCCCAATAGAATCCCACTAGTGTGCTTTATGAACCACTGGAAATATCCTGGAGGCTGTGATCCATCCAATCCACCTGGAATTAGATGAGCATCCATGCCCACAAACCACCACCAGCTTATCCTCTATTCTGGCATATTTGCACTATACCAGTGTGGGTCCTGGCTTACTAATACTGGCATGAGAGCTGGCTAGACATATATTCCAACTACCTGCCATAATCCAGGCACCCATCATGGCTCACTTGCATAAGGCCAGTATGTGTCCCAGCATACTAGAAGTGGCCATAACTCATACTGGCCCAATGGAAGTACATTGGTATGCCTTCTGACCCACTGGAAATAGTGTGGTGGCTGTCATCCATACCAGCCAACTGGAATTAGCTCAGCATCCATGCCAACTGACCATCACCACCTTGGCATCTGTGCCAGCCCACTAGCATAAGACTGGTATGTTTCCTGGCTTATTGGCATTACCCCAGCATTTGTCCCAGCTTACTGGAATTAGCCCAGCATTCATACCAACCCAATAGAATTACAGTGGAATGCCTTCTGACCCACTGGCAATCATTGACACATGCTGGGCTCATGCCAGTGAGCCCAGACCAGGTTAGTACCAGACCTTTCCCAACTTGCCAGAATCCATGCCAGGATTATCCAGGCAAGATGTATATAGTAGTAACCCCTCAGCCACACTGCAGTATGGTGACATCCAATGATCATGGCTATGCTGTGTGACACAATGACAACTCAGAGGTGGGCTCAACTTTAGCCAGTCTGTGCAACACAGCCAATTGTCAACTTTGCTTGGTGGTATGATATGGTACAAAGTAGGTACATTATGTGCCTGCAGGAGTCCATTGAGAAGTTGTTCAGTATCTCAAAGTGCATGTGAAGAGATAGATGAGAAGCAAATGTGACATGATTTAATGGCTGAAATTACTTTTAATAATTCAGAATGTATTACAGAGGCAATGTGCTTACCATCATGGGTGCTGATCATAAGTTCATAGCCATTAGTATCCTAGACTCTTACAGTCATGTCTGAAGAGCCTGACACAATCATCTTTCCATTAAGGGAGAATGCAACTAACCAGACTTTATCTGTATGTCCCTCAAGACAGCTGCCAATCTGCACACCTCTTTCAGCACCCCACACCCTCACAGTCTTGTCCAAAGGGCCTGACACAATGCTCTTTCCATCAGGGGAGAATGCAACTGAATAGACTGCATCTGTATGCCCTTCCAAGCCAAGTAGTTGAGTGGCTGGCCAATGTTCTAGACCTCCTACAACTCCAGGGAGGGAAGAAAATTTTGGCATGAGCATCATTGATAGCTTTGTCTTTACAGGAGCAAGTGCCAGTACAGAGATGTACACATGTGGTGAACTGTGAGAAATTGCACCATTGGAGTTTTGAATAAATCTGATTCCATCTTCTACCAACCCCAATGTATCCATGCAACCATCTTGGTTTTTCTATGTCAAGTGAGACAACATCAATGCAAATAGTTGTCACACTCATGAAGAGCCATGTTTTGGCAGAAATAAGTGCTGCTGTTATGCCTGAGCCAAGTGACTTTGTCAAATGGACTAGTCATGAATGGCACAAGGGGGAGTCTTCAGGCTGAACTTGTCATAACCCCTATGGCTCCTCTTTGATTGTGAAGTCAGATGAAGATATTGTCTACTGGCAAGTCCCTAAGGTTGTTCACACAGAGAGAAGATAGAGATGAGGCAAGAATAAGGTGAGTTGCAAGCTATCAAAAAACTGAGGTTACATGGTACAGTATGGCCATATAAATACCTCAGTACACAGAGTATTTGTAACTGGATCTAAGGGTAATGCAGGGCTTCTTTGACCAGAGGGGCTTTTTCAACCAATCTTGTATTAGCTACAAGGGTGCTTTGAATTGTGAGCACCCAAATCAGAACTTTTAGAACATACCTTGCACTTGGTCTGGACTTTGCTCCCTCTCAACTCCTTGTTCCTGTCCAATTGCTGCATCTCCTCCCATATGGATAGCAGAACTGCAGGCTTCTTCTTCTTCCCTGCTTGCCTCCATTCCTGGCATTGGTGCCCAAGGATCTCCAACTCTTCTACTTCAAACCTTTCTTCCTCCCTTTCCCCCACATCTGATGGTTCTATGTCTCACTCACCATCAGCATCATCTCTTTCTGTCTGATCCCAGGCATCTGATTCATACTGGGACTCCATGGAGTATGATGTGATATGATGTATAATGGTGTATAATAGATGGTTGGCTACTAAGTTTTTTCACACCCTTGTTTGGTCTCAATGCATTTCAGTACTAGTGCAGTCATGCCAAGGAATTTGTTCAGACCTCCATGAAGCAACTGAAATATCCAATCAGGCTGATCTCTTTGACAGGATCCTGCCCAAAGGCAGATTAGCTCCCAGTTTGCATCCGGGCTGTCAGTTGGCTTGCCCAATCATATCCATACTTATATTGATACTGAACATCTCATTTCACCTTCATCAGCTAATATAGCATCCAAATTCACCATCATAATCCAGGCAAAGCACCCAGGTAATGTTGCAGCAGGAAGGGAATGTGTGGGCAGGGATTGAGCAGTAATCAGAAGGCAGCACCATGCATTGTGCAAGGCCAGTGTAGTTGCATTTGCATTTATGCCCTGACATGTGTTAAGGTACTGACATTGATAGAGCTACATGATAAAGTGACTTGCACTAGCAGTAGCATTTCTAACAACTGACCTCATACTGTGAAATCAGCAACCTCCAGATAGCCACAGGAAGCACTCAAAAGGGTATGAGAATGATTGGTCCTACCCTGGGCCATCAGGTGAAGCAGCTGGAAGTCAAGACTCAGAGAACTGGAGGTAGATATAGATCATGATTGGTAGAAGTCATGATCAAACAGCCAGATCCAACAACCCCTGTCCATTCTCCCCAATCCTCACCATCCAAGCATTCAAGGTCTTGCTCCCACAAGTACTTTGATGCATGGGCAGATTCAGCCTTTGATGGACATGAAAGCATGAGCCCACCAGTCCAGCAACTGATGTTACCGTGGAAAAAGGTATGCAGCAGTTTGCCAACCCAAAAGTGGACTTCACATGGTGTGTCAGATGCAGAACAATTGCATCCATGAATGGGTTCCACAGAAGGGGGAGTTCTTGAAGATACTCCTGGAGCTGGAAGCCTCCCCAGAGCCAAGGAACTGCACCTGGTGTAGCAATGATGGGGTATACAGATGCCCAGATTGCTTGCATCAGCCCCTATTCTGCACAGAATGTTGCCAGAAGAGTCATGAGAGCCTGCCTTTCCACAGGATCCAACAGTGGACAGGGGACTTCTATGAGGAATCTGCCCTCCACATGGTGAGAGATCAGTTGGTTGCCCAGAATTACATTCACATCAAGACCCACAGACTGGCGTTCAGATGCACCTAGGACATGGCAGAGCACCCTGTCCCCATGCAATTGCACAAGCCCAGCAAGCAGCAGGTGAACCTCTGCCCATGGATGATCAAAAGTGTGAAGATGTGGAAGATATTGAAGAAAACCCAAAGCACCTCCATCCTCCAGCAGGGTCAAGATATCTCACTGTCATGGATGTCACAGGTGTTCATTTCATTGTAATGAATTGGTGTGAATGTGAGACTGCAGAAACCCAATACATACAGTTACTCAGAGCCAAACTATCTCCCTCAACATTCGAGAAGCCAAGCACTGCATTCACATTCATGGTTCTGGATGACTTCCTGAGGGACAACCTGGAATGTGGAACATCCGGTATGAACTATTACAGCAAGTTGCATTGGATCACATCCAGTGTGTTTCCACACCTCATTCCAGTAAGATTTGGTATTTTGGTTCCAAGTGTTGGAATGTCTGAAGGGTCAATCAGGATAGATACTGTGAGCTTCTATGGGTTGCACAGAAATGGCAATACCTCAAGCTACTTAAATGGAATGGATTCTGCAGGACAACCAGGTCAGCAGAGAAAGGTGGACTGGCATTATTTTGCACAGCATGCCCCCAGCCTGGAATAAATGTTGATACTAATGAGGATTTGGACCAGTAAGCAGCTCCAATAATGCAATCCTCATATGCTGACCTTCTCCAGCTGGCAGTTCACCCA